TTTGTAATTCCAAAAAAAAAAAAAAAGAAGATTAATATGGCCACCTAGAGGAGAAAACATGATCAACAAATATGCCATTACATTTTCTTACTTTTTCTAGAATATGTGTATTTCAGATTCATAACATATAACCTGCTCTAAAGGACCAATTGAAGGGGTTCATCTTGTATGAAACAGACTTAGGGGAAATATTAAAGTAGCAGTGATGACCTACTGAAAGCCAAATAACATTAATTTTGCTGTTGACTTGACAAGTATAGTTTTTATCTTGCTGTGTGACTTTGGGTTAAAAAAATAATCAAAGTCACTTCAATTCTGTAGAATCTTACCTACCACCATACATGGCAATGAAAATTAAATATGACAGCATAACAGAAACAGAGTGAGGCACATGGTAGGAACTCAATAAATGGCAGTCCTCGCTACCTGGTAAAATTTCTCTTGCACTGGTGTCTCCTAATACCTCTTCAGGTCCTCTCTAATCTTCTCTACTCCTGCAGATTTGTTTTCAAAATTGGCTGTTCCAAAGTTTCTCAACTGGAATTACTTAGGCTGTTGAGAAATAGACTAAAGGTTCCTTATTAGCATTAATGAGGTAAATATTATGCCATGTAAAAAAATGTATATTTTTAAATATTTTTCCTTCTACCTTGTGATTCCCTTTAGTTAACTCACATTAGTCAAGTTTAACCTTTATAAACTTGTGTGATGGTCACATGCAGACTACAGGACCACAGCAATAAGAAATGTAACTTACTCTATTCATCTCTTTATTTGTGTGTCATTTATTTTCTACTCACACAAGAAAATGAATGAAGTCCTACCAAGAGAACTGTACCCAGCAGTTCTCTTAGGTGGGTGATCAGCCACAAAGTAGCAGTTTCTGCAGAGGCAGCTTTGCCAAGGGGCAACCACCAGATGGAGACGCAAATCCCCTTCTTTCCCAAACATATAACAGAGGGGAGTATCAGTGGGCGAGAGAAAGAAAGTGAACAGTTGGGTTACAAACAAAACCCCTCAACCACCTCTCTGACTCTCAGAGTTGATAAGGAGAGAATAGATGGTAAGAAAGCCTAGGCAGCAAATGTATACTTCCTTACCACTTATCCTCTCCTTAACAACACTCAATCTGACTTCCTTATTACTCTCCTAAAACTCTAATTGAAAATGATTGATCAACTTCCACTGGACAAACGGGTTTATCTGAATTATCACCCTCCCCAACCACGCTGCCTTCCTTCTTCTAAAACTTTTCTTCCAAGGCTGATAAAATATAACATTTTCCTGAATCTCCTCTTTATCTCTTTTACTGTTTCTTTGTGTCTTTTCATGACACCCCTAATTCTCCTGTCAAAGGAAATGATTCTCTGATCTTTTCTCTCCACGCATTCTCCTTCATCAATTTAATTCATGCCCATAGCTTCTATTCTCTAAGCATATATGATCTGAAAACTTCTCCCTCAAATGCATTCATGATTACAAGCTTGATAGCCATTTCCAACTGCTTAAATATCCTGCCCCATCACTATGTAAAATCACTTATTATATCTCTTATCCACTGCCCCCTTCCAACCAAACACAGGTCCCTCTCTGGATTTCATATTTATATTAATGACGTCATCATTCTCCTCACTATACATGATGGAAATCAGTCATCTCTGATGTTTCCTTTCTTTTTCCAAATGTTCCAAACACATTCAGATCCTAAATCCAGTAAATTCTACCTCAATAATCGCTCTCCTATCTTACTTTATTTCTATTGCCACTACTGTAATTCAAACTTCTATCATTTTCCACATATACTACCCTATAGATCTCTTTAATCGGTATCTTTTCTGACAGTCCGCTTGCTGCTAAATTAATCTTTCTGAAGTACAACCCTGATTATGATTCCTTAGTAAAAAACTCTTCAGCAAATTCTCACTGGCAAACAAATTAAACCCTATCTTCCTAGTCAGGGGGCACTCCAGGCCTTCAACCTCATCTCTCTTTTCAATTTTAACTCCTATTCCCTCAGATGTATGTGTATAGATGCAGCTATGCTGGAGTCAAGTGGATTTCTCTCCATCCCTGAAATATTCTCTACATTGTATCACACTCTCCTGCTTAAAAACTACTGAGCAAGACATTCCCGTTCTTCGAACAAAGATCCCAAGTTAGAGGTGCTGAAATACACTTTCTTTTGGATTCATGATTGCATGAAAGCCCTATTCCATGCTTGTTGAAATAATTCTCACTCAAGTCCAGCTCACCTAGACCCCATTAGACTTCCTGAGATTCCTATCTCCCAAAATCGAAATCACCTCCTACTCTGTGTATCTTTTATTATTTTTACTTTTTAAAGTTTTGTCAGCTGAGTGCAGTGGCTCATGCCTGCAATCCCAGCACTTTGGGAGGTCGAGGTGGGCAGATCAGAAGGTCAGGAGTTCGAGACCAGCCAGGTAAAGCCCCATGTCCATTAAAAGTACAAAAATTAGCTGGGCATGGTGGCACGTGCCTGTAATCCCAGCTACTCGGGAGGCTGAGGAAGCAGAATCTCTTGAACCCAGGAGGCAGAGGTTACAGTGAGCCAAGATCATGCCACTGCACTCCAGCCTGGGCAACAGAGTGAGACTCCATCTCAAAACAGTTTTTCTTTTTTTTTCCTCTTCTATATTTCTACTGCACTTTGTTCATGTGACTAACAGACCTCTCATCATATTATATTACATATACACTCACTGATTTTCCTCCTCCAGTCAGTAGGCTTTTTTCTTTTTTTTTTGAGACAGTCTTGCTCTGTCGCTCAGGCTGGGGTGCAGTGACGCGATCACCGGCCACCACACCCACCTGATTTTTGTTTAGTAAAAAATGATTTTTTTTACTAAGCTGATTTTTTCTATGTTTTTAGTAGTGACGGGGTTTCACCGTGTTAGCCAGGATGGTCTCGATCTCCTGACCTCATGATCCGCCCGCCTCAGCCTCCCAAAGTGCTGGGATTACAGGCGTGAGCTACCGTGCCCAGCCATCAGTAGGCTTTTGAGAGAAACAAGCTTATGATCTTCATATCCACAGTATCTAGCAGTGTATGACTGCTAAAAAGTGTTCACAAAAGCTTTTCATGTTTACAAAATAAATAAATCTAATCTTGGAATGCCTAAAATTAAGTGTTTCATCAAATAATTTACGGTAGGAATGTGTAAAAAAGTACAGGATAGCTCCTAAATATATGGGTAAACTAAAATGAGAAAGTGATTCTGGGACACTTGGACCACTTGCAGAGGTTAGGGCAAGAATAGTAAAAGCATCTAGGTTGTATCTCTCTCCTCACTGCTCTCTCCATAGTCTATAAAGTCAGGCTAGACTAACAGAACTACCGAGACATGCTCAAGACAGCAGAGGGGTGCTGGGGTGAGAGGAAAGAGAAATGAATAGAAAATAAATCCTAAATGTACACCTGCAAAAAGGGAATGCACACTCAGGGCTTGCTCATGACCATCACTGTTTTCACTACCATTATAATTAGCTACATTTACTTATCACTTACTTATGAGCTATCAGACACTATGCTAAAAACTGTACCACATCTATCATTTAATTTTCATGGCAACCCTACCAGTTCAGTATTACTCATATTTTACAGACAATGAAAGAAATCTAAAAACAATGAACTATATTGCCAAAGGTCTCACAGCTAATATGTTAAGAGATATGGCCAGAACGTTAATAAGGACCAGATCTCAAAACACATTCTCTTCCTGCTCTACTATTCTTGTACCAGAGGTGTACATAACTTGGGGACTGGTTTTACTGCTTTGCATTATTTAATTAACTTAGTAAGCACATGTCTTCTTTTCCCTAGTACTAAACTGTATTTTTGAGGGTAGAGTACATGTCAAATATTTGTTATCTTTTCCCTTGAATCTCATAATGACCATATAGCAATCATTCAGTATTTGATTAATTTATTATTATACCTGTGTACTAGCAGACATAAGAATTGAGGTGCACTAATCTTTAGTTGGCATGAAGCCAAATACAGTAATGGACGATTTATCCCCTTTGACAACTGTACATGTTGGGATAAGACTCAAAGTCATCAATAGTAATAGGCCCTAAAACATTAAGTCACAGCTACAAAATCAAGGATAGCTTGTGTTTATGTATACTGATAAAAATGATATCTAGGATATGTTATTCTTCCCTTCATATCTGGGTATAAAGATAATAATCATGATGAGCACCCATACAGTCTATTAAGCAAGTGAATAATTTATTTAAATGTGGAAATAAATATGCTTTAATTAATGGCAAAACCTGTCTTATTTATGTCACAGAAAGATGTAAAAACATGTATAAATGGACTGACATCTTCTATACAGGTTGAGTTTTAAAGTCAATTTCAGTACATAACACAAAATCAATTAGAGACAAATAATCCTTCAAATTACTGAAATCCTTGAAAATCCCTTAAATTGCCTTTAAAGCATGGTATAATATAGTACCAGCTCTCAATAAATTCATCTCAGACAGTTTTCCCTTCTGCACAAAACAGATTACCATTTCTTCCGCTGTGTGCCATGTGCAACATTTGGCTGGTGTTTAGGAGCCATATTGAATGAAACAGCATACATTTACACACTGGAATCATATTCAACACCGTGAGAGACTTAAACTCTATCAGTTCCTATAACAGGTATAGAGAACTGATTCCATCTGAGAGAACAGCAGATTCACATCTTCCATATCATGCTTGCTAAGCATATGTTCACTGTGAAATGAGAGCTACAATTATCACATCACGTAAATTATTTGGTTTTTGCTTTGGGGTGTTTTGGTATTGGTTTTGATTTTTGGCCTGAGCCCAAAGATATGAATTTGAATAAATTACATTTCCAGAAATGTGACTCTACCGTGTGAGCTCTCTTGTTTATTCTGTAACCACAGATTCCTAGAATTTCAGGCACAAGTAATCGAATACTATAGTGTGTCATGTAAAAAAATAAAACAGCCCATCTTACCTTCATCTATTGATGCTTCACTACTGTATCCATCATACTCTGCGGATAAAGGACTGTATTTCTGCCTTGTTTCCCAAGCATAGTTCTTTTGTCTAGAATCTGCCAGTGGTAGTCTGGAATTTTGTGTTCTGGATAAGGCCTCATGATATTTACCCAGTGCTTCATCTTCACTTTCAGAGGACGAACCATGCTCATCTTTGTCCATGTAGGAATTATCTATTTGGAATGACATGAAGAACAAACCGTAATTGAAAAAAAATTTCCCTCCCCTCAACTGGCCCTGCTGGGCCTGTGAAATGAAAATTTTTATGCAATCAAATATGGAAAATTTGCTGAAGTTATACATATAAACACACACATATATACACAAATATATATATACACACACACACATATATACACACAAATATATATATACACACACACACATATATACACATATATAACCTGAATTTTCAGATTTAAAGAAATACAATTTTTTCACATAAGAAGCCCAAGCTTTGGAAAAAGATCAGCTTGTATATTCTATTATATAAATAACGTTTGTTAGTCACAGGGATTTTTCAACCATGTTATATATAAAGGAAATTATAATACTTACCATTTTACATTTTTTGAAGTATAAGTAACACATAAGTGAAGTTCTAAGTATTGCCAGTACTATGGATCTGATTCAAATAATTCACATTAAAAGACACATTTCTGGTTCTCGTTTTGGTTGAAATTTTCAAAACTGATAATACTCAGTGCTAGCAGTAAAATACAGCAATGGACAGGTATACACTATTGGTGAAATTATAACTGATACTACTTTCCTAGACAGCAATTTGGCAAAATATATCAGACTTTTAAATCTGCATACTCTGATCCATTTCCAGGAATTTATCAATTCTATTTCTAAGAATTCAGCCTAAGAAATTAATTAACAGATGAGTAAAGATAGATTTTTGAAACAATTCACTGCATTGTATTTAATGGCAAAAGAGATAATCTAAATGTCCAACAGTGGGCTTTGTTTAAATAAATATGATACATCTATTCAATGATATACTATGCAGTCATTAAAAATGAGGATGTGAACTTAAAAGAACTCTCAGGGAAAGAATAACTACAATATCATGTTATGAGAAAAAAGGAGGTTAAAAAGTAGAAGTTATAATTACATTCCCAGTTGAAAATATATATACACACACGTGGCATGTACACACACATAATGCAGTCTAGGTATGCACAGACAAAACTATCTGTAAGGATATACACCAAACTGTTAACACTTACTGCTTGTGAAGGGCAGAATTTCTAAGAAAATTTTACTTAAATATACCTAAATTTCAAACAAAACTTTCAGGAAGTCTAAATTTTTTATTATTCTAAAAAGCACTAGTTATTACCAGTTTTTTAAAAAGGTAACCACTTTGAAACTGCACAATGGTGCAACTTTCTTAGAATTATTAAACAATTCTAGAAAGATGAAGAGACTACAGTAGTTAAAATTCATTAGTTCAACAGGGTTATTTTTCTCTTTATAGTCAGTTAAGATCATCTGTAGTAAAGAAATCGAGGCTGAAATTTGAGTGGGAGTTACAGAATAAGTAATTTTTAAATACAGGACAGAAACTACATGCTTAGAGTTAGAAAAAGGTTATATGTCATCTAGTCTAGTCCTAGTTTTTAAATCAGTAAAATAAAGCCATAAATGGGTAATGCTATCACCAATGTCACATATTGTGACAGTGCTTGCCCAATACATAGCCAATAGTCACATGTGGCTATTTAAACTAATTAAAATTAAACAGAAATTAAAACCCAGTTCCCCATGCTATTAGCCACGTTTGAAGTGCTCAACAGCCACATGCAGCTAGTGGTTATTGTATGGAACAATGCAGAGATGTAAGACTTTTTCATTGTTGCAGAAAATACTATTAGACAACAATGAGATGGCCGAGCCATAAGACCTCCGACTCCCAGTGCAGAGCTGTTAGCATTTTGTTGGATACCACAGTGGGGATCTTAAAGCAGCAAAAGGTTTTGAGTCTCTTGAGGAGGGTAATTAGTCTGTGGCCAAACTTCACCTATTAAAAAACATTACCTAACGTAACCTGCATTAGAAATAGAGAAGAAAACCCTTCCTTTTTCTTTTCTTTTGTTTGTTTGTTTTTTTGAGGAGTCTCGCCCTGTTGCCAGTCTGGAGTATAGTGGCGTGATCTCGGCTCACTGCAACCTCCGCCTCCTGGGTTCAAGCAATTCTCCTGCCTCAGCCTCCTGAGTAGCTAGGATTACAAGCACCCACCACCATGCCCAGCTAATTTTTGTATTTTTAGTAGAGACAGGGTTTCACCATGTTGGCCAGGATGGTCTCGATCTCCTGACCTCGTGATCCGCCTGCCTCGGCCTCCCAAAGTGCTGGGATTACAAGCGTGAGCCACCGTGCCCGGCTTTCCTCCTTTTTCTATACCTTATAAACCCAGTGTCAGAATCTGGAACATAGGTACCAGTAATATTACCGTTCAGCTAAATGAAGGGTTAACCTATGGATCAAAAAGCTTTTGAAAATCATTTGGGAACATGCGTAAGTTTAGTACTGACTATACTGTGGAATATGTTAGAAATATTTGGTTTCTTTAGGTACTAGCATGCTTCTTAATGAAAACAAATTTAAAAAGTTAAAAACCCTACATGCTACTTGTAATGTATTTATTATGAGTGTCCATTCTACCATTATTTTCTGAATAAAATAATATGTAAACTATTTTACATTATTTTTTAATTTTTGCTACTTTAAGCAGTAAGTCTATCAGAACTAAACTGGGCCTACCAAAGATCACTAAATCTGACAATCAAAAAATTGCTAGAATGGACAGGCACAGTGGCTCACGCCTGTAATCCTAGCACTTTGGGAGGCCAAGGCGGGCGGATCACGAGGACATTAAGAAGACTTTTCAGTTCTGCTACGATTACATACATAATAGGGACATTAAGAAAAACTAGGGCTGCTGAAAAGTTGGCCAACTAATGCAGGGACCAGGGGCAATACTTAGCAGCACAAATAACATGAATGCTCTCAAAGTGATTTTAGAAAAAATACTGAATGGCTTTAAAAATGTTTCCCAGTAAAAGGATTCAAGACAGTCTTAAATGTAGACACATGAATAGGAAAGCTGAGAAATTTGGATGATGTTTTACTAATTTAAAAAATCAAGAGAAAATTTAATCATTCACACCAACATTAGGAGACCTCACCTTTTTCTGGTATTAACTTAGAATATTTTTCATCTTTACTCTTTGCCGTTCCTTTCTTGGCAGAAATTGCCTCAGTTTTCTTCGGTTTTATGTCTTCTTTCACTTTACAGTATTTCTTTGAATTTATTTGTTCTTCAATTTTCCTAGATAACTTATCTTTAGAATTAGTTGATGGTGCTGGATGTATGTCTTCTTTTATAATGGATTTCTGTGTCATATGTCTATTGCTTGTCAAAATACCTTTTAAAGAACATTCATTTCCTGAACATTCATTCCCTTTAGATGTTTTACTTTTAACACATTTTTCAGCTTTCTTTAAACGATCTGAATGCCCTAAATTGGGAAGATGTTTATATTTATTGAAATGCCCCATATTCTCTTGATCTCTTCCCAAATATACATGTTGAGATTTAGTATATTCTTCCTTTTCACGATTATCTGTACCAACGTATTTCTTTTGCTCATATAATTTATTTATTCCATTGGCATTCTTCTGATTTCCTTTCATTTCTTGATATCTTACCTCCTTTAAATCATTCTTACCATTATTGGAAACTCCTAGTCCAATTGTTTTACATCTGTTGGTACTTTCAAGTTCTTGACAAATAGATCCAGCCCTTGTATTCTGTTTGATAACTGATATCCCACCATTATTCATGCAGCCTTTCAAAGAAGAATCACCAGTATTACCAGTATCTTGATATCCTGATAGAGTCTGTTGCCTATCATTAACATGTTTAGATACTCTTTCTTCATATATACCTTGATCTTGCTTTTGTGAAACTGAAGTTTTGCAAGTATTTATTTGCTTTGCTCTATGCTCTAAATTGGCTTGTGTTTTCTGACAATTAGTGTTTTTGGAGACTTCTGTTAACCCGGCATTTTTTTGGTTAGAAGTGTCTACAGCTTCTTCTGCTACAGAGCTTTCCTCTTCTGGGCAAAAGCCACTTATCATACTTGTTACCTGCTCAGCAACTGAGTCAGTTAAAGCATAGCTGACCTCCCCAACAGCAGTGGTCAAATCCTCTACAGCACTACTGATTGTGTCTACCAGAGAGGACACTGAAGGCAGATTCTGTTGGAAATTTCTGAAAAATGCCATTTTCTAATTCCTTGTTCCTAAAAGGTGCAGTAACAGAATTTTCTCTTCTCAAAATATCAACCACTTTGGAACTTGAATTTAACATTTACTTAAATGTTGCTATTCGTCAGCTCAATATTAGCAATTCACATTGTAGCTTTCAATCTTTCTGTAAATACATTATGCATTGAAAGAAATATGCTGAAGTAAAGATTCTTCCGAAAAACAAAAATCAAACCACTTGGTTTAAATGTTATGACATTTTTTCTCACTCCACAGCTATTGTAACAGCAGCAAGACAATATTTTTCCCTCAAATACTATTGGTTTTTATTCTATACCTGAAAGAAGAAGTATAAAAAGGATTTTTATTATGTACTTTTAGTTTGCTTATTAATAGTCTATGTAAGGGAACTACCCTATCTTACTAATAAACTACCCAGTATCATTTCAAATTAAGAAAAATATTAGAGGGAAATATCTAAACAATTTTGCCTAGTGGTAAGATTAGGGGAGAGGAGGTGTGGACATTTGCTGAGTGGCTACTATATGCAAGGCATTGTAATTGCCACATTTTATCCCACTTGATCTTACAGTAATTCTAGGAGGTAAATATTATTATTCCTATTTAATAAGTGAAAGAAAAACAAGGCTCAGAAAAATAAAGTTCCCTGAGACATTTTCAAGGGATCCTCAAGGTCAAGACTAGTTTTACAATAACAGCAAGGGGGTACTTAACTTTTTCATTCTCATTGGCTCACAAGTGAACACGAGTTATCCAGAGGCTACATGCCAGATTGAATGTAGAGGCAGAAATGAGAATCCAGCTGTCTTCCATTATGCTAGTCATTAAAAAGATTTGCAAAAAGTATAACAAAATCACTCTTCTCACCATTTTTTCCCCATTTTATTTTTGTTTTGGAAGATAGTTTTTTTTAATTTAAAGATGTTATTTATATTAATGTGTAACAGTCTTGTTTTTTTAAAAAATAAATATTTTAAATTTTCTCAGTTTTAACTCTAATATGGTACATATCAATAGATAAAATCCACATAAACAAAAAGCTCTTTGGGAGTACTTAATAAAATTTGTACAAAGTTGTCATTAAACAAAGGAAAAGCCAGAAACGCTGAACCAGTGAATTACCAAAGGCCGGTAAAGAGATACTTTTAGCCAGTTCTTTCTGCACAAATGATCAAAAAGCAGGACTGGAGTGGATTATAAGAAGCATTGAACTTAACCAAATTAAAACTGTATAAAATACTATTTATAGTTTCTTAATGCAAAAGTCACAACATATAATTTAATAACTTATAGATTCTTGTAAGTAACAGGGCTATCACCTTTTAAGTTATCAGATGTAACAGAAAAGCATATCTCCAACACTTATCTCTGTACACAGATAAGTAAAGCAAGATTTCTCAGCTATTTTTCATCACATTCTTCTAAATTAACACTTTGCTTTTATAATTTCCAATTCGTTTCTGCTATCATTTATATAAACCAGTCTTTGGAAATAGAAAATTTTAAAAACTCTTGTAGTAATTAAAAAAACATTCCAAGGAAAATGTTTCCATAAGAGAAAGAATGGTATTTACAGCCCTCATCTTTCCTAGTATCCAGTAACGCTATAATATATGGTGCCAAGGGAGGGAGCAGAACACAATTTTTTATCATCACAATTTATATATAAATTAAGTTACTAAGTAGAACCACCTCCAACTCCTCCAAACAATAAAATTACCCATTAGCTGAAAATTAAATAGCAGGTAAAGAAAAAGGGTGAACACTTTCAAAAGTGTTCTAGGGATGTGGAGAAAAAAGTTCTCTAAAGAGCTTCTTGGACAATGGAAGTATGCTACATAAAGTAACAACATACTTCCTTCTTCCTCAAGCGTATCTGTTCCTATCATAGGCTCAAAAGTATATCTTACATATGAAAATTAAAATGTCATTTTGTGATAGTAGACAATTCACCTTTATGTACCAGCAATTCATGAACAACAGAAGGACACCTGAACATAATTTACTCAACAGATCTTTTACAGAACAGTAGCTCAAATATTAGTTTATTGTATGTCACAACCAACCTTTTTATTGCATATATTAAAATAAGTAAATAATAGTACAGATAAAGAGAACAAACAAGAGAAGCAGCAATATGATACTTACAAATTTTATCTTGTGAATTCTTCCTTGTACTGTACTCTGAACCAAGATCTGGAAACCCGCCAACATTTTCAAAACAGAACTTCTTATTAATATAGAGAAAAAGGAGCAGCATCAAGATAATAAACACCCCAACAGCTGACAAAAATCCAACTGCCTCTGGAGATACTAGAGAAAAAAAAGTCACAGCTGTAAGCATTTATTTTTCTTTAAGCTACAAATAAGAAGGAAACCCCAAACATAAGTTAGCTTACTACCTTATTTGAATCATATTTTTTAATTGTCATAGTTTAAAAATAGTTTCATTTATAAGAAAAACAAACTGCAAAGTTTGATGACAGTTGTTCAATCTATTCAGCAGCATTCATTCAAATTTTCTAAGTTTCCTTAAATATTCAGAGGAACAATCTTAAAAGACAGGAGTCAGCCAGGCACAGTGGCTCACACCTGTAATCCCTGTGGGAGGTGTGATTGTGGGAGGCCAAGTGGGGAGAATCTCTTGAGGCCAGGAGTTCAAGACGAGCCTGGCCAACATGGTGATACCCTGTCTCTACTAAAAATGCAAAACTTAGCCTGGCATGGTGGCACATGCCTGTAATCCCAGCTACTTGGATGGCTAAGGCATGAGAATCGTTTGAACCTGGGAGACAGAGGCCACAGTGAGCCAAGATTGTGCCATTGCATTCCAGCCTGGGCAACAGAACAAAACCCTGTCTTAAAAAAAAAAAAAAGACAGGAGTCTATAAAATAGGCAATCATCATATGTTTAATCCATCGAAGAGCACTGCAAAAATTTGAAAATAAGAATTAGAAAAAAGGCCAGGTACGGTGGCTCATGTCTGTAATCCCAGCATTTTGGAAGGCCAAGGTGAGCAGATCACTTGAGGTCACGAGTTCAAGACCAGCCTGGCCAACATAGCGAAACCCTGTCTCTACTAAAGTACAAAAATTACCCAGGCATGGTGGCGGGCACCTGTAATCCCAGCTACTCAGGAGGCTGAGGCAGGAGACTCATTTAAACCTGAGAGGCAGAGGTTGCAGTGAGCCGAGATCACACCACTGCACTCCAGCCTGGGTGATACAGTGAGACTCTGTCTCAAAAAAAAAAAAAAAAAAAAAAAAAAAATTAGAAAAAAGTTATATCCCATGCACGGATATATTACTTAACAAAATTTATGAGAACACATATCATTATTTTTATCTCTAAAAGCTTCAATCGTTCTTTCTTAGTAAACTGTGTATTCCCTAATGTGGCATTTAAAGCTCCAGCCTCCCTTTTCAATACTATACTCCAGTCAAATGTTGTACTCATTGCCTCAGAATCTGCAATATTCAATACCACACTCCTTGTTTTTATTTATCCTCTTCCCTTGCCTAGAACAACCAACGCCTCTCTATTATATCCTACTCATTCACTCAACCAACTTATATATTTGGAGCACCAACCATATACCAGGCATTGTTATATAAACAGTTCCTGAGTTCCTTGAACAATCTGGTGAAGACAGATACAACACAGCGTAATAAGGGCAATATAGTGTAATAAAGGCTATGATTGGGAAAGAACAGGGACTATGAGAACACAGGAACACTTATTCCAGTGCTGAAAGATCAAGAAAGGTTTTCTGGAAGTTATGGACTCTATGATTATATTTGAAGAATTAATAAGAATTACTTCAGGCAGAAATAACATGCGCAAAAGCCCAGAGACAGAGGATCATGTTATATTCCAGAAACTGAATGAAATTCTGTTATGATAAGCTACTAGATTTTCAAGAGAATTTGGTCTCAAGCAAATATATGAAATCACCTAGAGAGGTTTTATACAGTGGGAAAAGACAAAAGACAGCTTCTCCAGTCCTTGGCAATCTCTCTTTCAACTTTTTTATTATTTGTCACTATATCAGTCATTTGAAGTTAAACAGGAGCTAAGTTTTTGTATCCTCCATGTCTTACAGATAATATTCAAGTATTAGCTGAGAATGATTCTAAGTTTCAAACACCCCTACAAAGATCCCTGTATAATCTACTCTTCCTCCTCCATCATTCAAGCAGCAACTAAAATGTTGTTTTCTCTAAGATTCTTAAATCAGAGAGCAATGGCAAATAGTATCTTAACTCATTTGTTAAAAATGAAGTCACCAATTGGTCAATGATGAGTGCTTTGATTTCCTTTTTCATTATTTATAAAAGTTAGGCATACGAGGTATAGAACTGAATAAGACATTATATCTTTTCAAAGCAGGGTCAATGGTGTTGCAGTAGAAGATGAAGCAGAGTAACACTGTAAGGCAGGGGCAATGGGAGTGAGAGGAGGAGTGAGAGTAGGAGGCAGCAGGAATGGTAGGAGTGCTAGCTGGATACCAGGCTGGTGCTGAAGGACAGATCTTGCTCCTAGAACCAAGAAATTATAGCCAGACATTAGCCTTGCCTGTCTTGTCCTCAGGCTGAAGCACAGCCAGGGAAGAAAACTATTTTAATAAAAGAAGCTAAGGTATATGACATAAAAACAGTGGTATGTATCAAGCCTGAGATATGGAGTAAAAATGAAAACAGAATAATTAAAATCAACATTTCAGATAGCCAGGAAAATCAGAAGCAGAACATAATCTGTTATGAGGAGGCAAAAAAGAGCAGTATTTCAATATTACACTGTAATAACAAATATATATAGGAGTTCCTCTTTTAGTACAGGCTCAGAACACTCAGACATTTAATGCCTTAAGTGGCTACACAAGATTAGATATCATGCAGACTGAAAATCTCCCATGTCTTGGAAAACTAAATGAAAGAGAAAATGTAGCTCATGTCACTTAAGAAAGCTAGTTATCGATAACAAAAATAGCAACAAAAACATATAGCATATACTATATACCACTCACTGTTTTAAGCATTTTATATATACTAACCCATTTAATCTTCACAATGATCCTATTATCATCCCAATTGTAAATTGAGACAAAGAGATATTAAACTATGTGTACAGATAGTAAGTCAGGATTCAAACCCTGTCTGGCCCCAGTGTCTGCGTCTTAACTACTACTCATACTGCTTCTGTTTACCTTCTCTCCTCTTCTTGCCTCTTTCTATCCCTTGCCTCAATCCTTATTTCTATGTTCCTCTTTCATCTTTCTCTTGCCCATTTTAAAAATTCAACCTAGTAGGAGAGATCCACTATAAGCAAGTAAGTATAACATATAGTAAATACTATAATAGAGATATGAATATAAATTATTACCGGAACACAAAGAACCAGTACCTGAGAAAGTCACAAAATGCTTTAGAAGAGATGACACTTGAATAGGGTATAAAAGATTAATAGAACCTCTATAAATAGTAAAAGTACATTTGAAATAGCATGGTTAAAGACACCTGGCATTTAATAAGACACCTGGTAAAATATACCTGGCATTCTATAAGCACTAATGGGCAATAATCACAGCTGTCATATTTATTTACCTCTGTATCTTCGAAGTACCTAGGACAGCACCACATAGCTGACATATAAACATCTGTGGACAAATGGATGGATGAATGAATGAATTAATAAATATATGTGTATTCAGGAAAGATCAAGAATATACCAGAGGAGCTGTAACTGGAGATGAAATCAAGGTCCATATTGTCAAAGAACCTTGAATATCATCCAAAAAATTTTGTATTTGGGGAGTAACATGATTACAAGTATGTCTTGTAGAACTATATTGGTTTAAAAAAAAAAACAACTAGAAAACTGAAATATGGTAGCAAGTCAACAGTGGTAAAATATCTTCAGTTCTTTAAGTAGTAGCAGTGGTAACAGAGAAGGGTGAAATCTAGTCTTTATTCAAAGAAAATTGATAATGATCCACTTATGTAAATTTAGAGAGTAAGAAAGAAGAAGAGTTGAGGTTAATTCTAAAGTTTCTGCTTTGAGTGACCAGGTAAATGGTAATGCACTAACCAGAATGAAAAATATGAGAAGAAAGGCATTTGGATTAGAGCATGGGAGGAAAGAGGAAAATAGAAGGAGAATGATAGATGATTAGTTTAGTTTTTGACATGCTACATTGGAAATGCCAACAGAATATTTCACAGAGGGAAATATGAGTATGATGTTCTGGTAAAGGTCAGGTTAGTTAACAAAATTTGAAAATTTTCCCTCTTTTTTGTTCCTCTTATTCCACATGAAACACTTCACTCGCTAAATAAAACCAAGCTGGCAAATGCAGGTGCCAGGCTTTATTAATGGTAAATATATTATGTTACATATCTTTAGATAAATACATACTGTGGCATCAGACAAATTAAAAAAAAAAAAAAAGCAGCTTGCTCCACTAGGAAAAGGTGAAATATGCCTGCTGTAAACATACTATTCACATAATTCCCTGACTGAATGCCTGTTTTTTACATTCATTAAAAATATTTTATCTATTTACAATTTTAAAACAGTAATATGGTCATAGACAAGAAATAAAATATCTTCTAATAAAAATATTTAAAATCTTCAAGCTCATTTTTCATCCTTAGCTGAGAACTAAACTAATATTTATTATTTCAAATATATTATAATGATACCAGAAGTTAGCCAGTAACAGTTCTGAGTATAAAACTAAGAACTGTACAGGTAAATCCCACCTGTACATAAAACTGCAATAGAAGACATACTGAAATTAAACTAAAGATATGAATACTGTAAACCATGCTTGTCCAACCCATGGCCTGCTGGCCATATGCAGCCCAGGATGGCTTTGAATGCAGCCCAACACAAATTTGTAAACTTTGTTAAAATCTTATGAGTTTTTTTTTTTTTTTTTTTTTTTTTTGGAGACAGAGTCTCGCTCTGTCGCCCAAGCTGGAGTGCAGTAGCGCCATCTCGGCTCACTGCAAGCTCTGCCTCCCGGGTTTACGCCATTCTCCTGCCTCAGCCTCCCAAGCAGCTGGGACTACAGGCACCCGCCACCTCGCCCGGCTAGCTTTTTTTCGTATTTTTAGTAGAGACGGGGTTTCACCTTGTTAGCCAGGATGGTCTCGATCTCCTGACCTCGTGATCCGCCCGTCTCGGCCTCCCAAAGTGCTGGGATTACAGGCTTGAGCCACCGCGCCCGGCCGAGTTTTTTTTACAATTTGTTTTTAGCTCATCAGCTATCGTTAGTGTATTTTATGTGTGGCCCAAGGAAGCCAAAAGA